AGTTTCATGCACGACGCAAACTTCTGGTCCTGAAGATTGCGTTGTGCTTGAAACACCGAGTCGTACTAACGGTGAAAGATTATATAGCTATATTGCGAGACTCTTCGCAAAAGTGAATTGAGTCACTGTCGGTCACTGGGCGTGTTTCTAAAAATAAATACGCTAAAAATCCACCTTCATCCCTACCGACAGCTTAATGGTTAGAATCTCCGACTGACACCAAGTCAGTCAGGTTTCGGTCCTAGCTAGAGGCAACCGGATGTCTATCCGCACTGATGAGCTGTGAAACAGCAAAACAGTCTGTCTGTGGATGACGTTATATATATATATATATATATATAGAACAAAATTAACGATAAAAAACAAATGAAAACTATAGATAAAGTTCATTTTTTATGCTGCCCGAAAGTAATCGAGGAACCTAACTGACATAAAACAAAAAAATTATTAATATACAACCCAGTGTGTCTGAAAATTTTAATTGTTCAAAACATGTGTGTGTGTATATATATATATATATATATATATATATATATATATATAGAAGATATATATACATTTTCATATATCAGTGCTGAATTTTGAGTAAGTTTTCATGTGAAAAATTTCGTCCTTTAAGACATTATGGGAAAGTGCAGTTCATAGTGATTCGTCTACACATACGTAAAAGGAAAAGGAGACGCTGAGAATTCCAATGCATATTCTGGGTATATCGACTTGTCGATTTTATTTAGTTTCTTTAAATAAAAAATGACGTAAATTACACCGTTGATGATGTGACCATTAAAACACAATCTAAATATACTTCGTCTTACTCTTTTAGAATCCTATTTTTAAATGTAAATTAAGATCAAACTAATTACGCTGTGTATCGGAAGCCCTGAATGTGTTGTCTTGTAAAAGATCACTTTGTGTTCATATAATCTTTTATCTAAATTCCTTGAGATCACTCTTATGTGTTCCTTATATTATTGCATGTGGTACAGTAAATTCCTTCTTCATTTTATCTTGTTATTTCTTTTGTATTAATTAAGTATTTTATTGTTTTAGAAGGAGTTGCCAAATAAAATATTAGATGAATTCTTTTTCATTGTATTTGTAGTAGAGTCGGTAAGTAGAAATTCCTGGCGATCTCGCTCCTCCCTGCGCATGTGTAGTGGCATCAACCTAAACTTTAGTGCATTTAAAGAAACATTCCTGTCCAAATGTAATATTAATTGACAATACAAATATACTCCACCAATTAAAAAAGAAACTTCAACTATATAAGAAAAATGCAACAAGCGCTAAATAAGATTAGTTATGAGTATAGCAATAATGTTTTAAAATGTCTATAATGGCTATGTTTAAAAATACTTAAATTATAATTAAAAAAAATGTAATTATATAATATAAATCTACCTCTCCTGATATTTACCCATAGCTGGGGGGGGGAGAAAAAGAGGATTCATACATTTCCTTAGAGTATTAGCACGTAAGTGAATATCAGTCAGTTATGGGCGATGCGTGATAAACGCTTAGGCGATCATCTATCTTTCGATACAGGACTGACGAGGCAGATTTTTTTCCGCAGTAGTTTGTCATTTCTTTCTGCGGTAGACTAGTTGCCATCCAAGACTAAGGAACCTAGTCTGTCCTGCTATTTTCCCATAGCTGGTGGTGGAGAAGAAGAGGATTCATACCTTTGTCAATTGTATTATCACTTAAATGAATATAATGGATTCGACTGGAATTCGAACTCGGCTTTTTCTCTCAACGCGAGCCACTATCCATTAATCCAGCGTGCAAAATACAGAGGTCATTAAAAAATAAAAACAAAGACCTCATTCCTTCCACTTGTCTCTGACCAATAATAATTGTTTTATTACGCTTTAAGCAGAGAAACATTTTCTCCACCAATCCAAGAAGAATTTGGATTACTACCACACACAAAAAACAATGGTTAAACATAGGAAAACATGAAGAAAAATATAAATCCTTTAAATAATAGGTGGGGATAACCATTTTTCGCCTGATGATGGTCACAAAACCTGAAACCCATGTAGCAAAAATATGGAAAATAAAGAATAATATATATTTTTAGAAAATAAATAGCCAAATAAAACGTGCACATTATAACTAAAAACATTTGCGGCTTCTCTTGTAAAATTAAAACCATAGCTGTTTATTTTGTTTTGGGTAAATAAACTAATGCCTTTCCCATGTGCCTTTGTCCGGGGTAAATATTCCATACAAAGACGTAATTTTCCCGAGTACCAATTTGCAATGTCTCCACTGCTCTAATACTCCACATGAGTAAATTAGCAGCCAGGTGGAGCTCTTTAGCTATGAAAAACTGTTCACATTTAGAGGTTAACAAAACGCTGCCGTAAAATGGATTTGTCATTTGATGATTAGGGCTTCCTTGCTATCGTTCGAGTAATAAAAAGAAAATAGGTGACTGACATATACTTTGCTGCTTACTTTATAGAACGACACTTTGCACTTTCTTTGATCCCAACGTGGGTGACATGGTGGGGGTGTAAGTCAAATGTATCGTCACTGACCATTTGTTGATTTCTTTTTATTGTTGGTGTCCGCAGAAAAAAAAAGTTTCGAATGATTGTCCGCAAAAATCTTCCGTCTGATTTTTTATTTCTGTTTTATTTCTGTTTTTATTTCTGTTTTTATTTCTGTTTTTTTGTTTGTTTCTTTGTTAAGCATTTGAAATAAACTTATGTAAGGGAAGGGAATCGGAGAAACTTAAACCTGTTAAAGAAAACCACAAAATGCAAATAATTGAATATGGAAACGAGACGTAGAAAGAAAATGTAGCAATTAATTGCAATGAAGACATGCAATGGAGAAAGAATAAAAGAACATGAGTGAAAGCAGAAGAAAAGAAAGAAAGACGGTTTTAAAAATGAATGAATAAAGAAAAATGAAAGAAAAATATAAAACGAGTGAACGCAGAAGGAAAGAATGAGTTTACATGAATGAATGCTGAGAGAAAAAGGAAAGAAAGAAAGAGAGAATGGCATAAGATGAATGAAGGAACAAGGAAAGAATAAAAGGAGAATGTTGAAAAATGAATGAATTAAGAAAGAAAGAAAGAAAGAAAGAAAGAAAGAAAGAAAGGAAGAGAGCATTAATATTAATTAATGCACAAGGAAGGAAAGAAACATGCAACTTTTTTTTTAAATGAATTAATGAAGAAAGAAATAAAGTAAGAATACCGTAATATCCACAGAGGAAGAAAGAAAGAAAGAAAGGATTAAAAATGAATGAAGAAATAAAGAAAGAAGGAAATAATATTTTAAAATGAATGAGAAAGAAAGAGAGAAAGACAGAAAGCGTTGATATTAATGAAAGCCTTAATATGAACAGGAAAGAAAGGAGACTATAAATTGAAAGAATAAAGAAAACAAAGAAAAAAATAAATGAAGGAATGTACAAAGAAAGAAAGAAAGTTTTTAATGGATGAATACAAAAAAAAAAAAAAGAAAAAAGAATGTCTTAATATGAATTAATCCACAAGGAAAGAAAGACAAAATATTTTAAAATAAATGAATGAATGTAGAAAGAAAGAAAGAAAGAAAGAAAGAAAGAAAGAAAGAATGCACTAATATGAATGAATGCACAAGGAAGGAAAGAGACATACAAAGAAGGTTATAATATCAATAAATACATAAGAAAAGAAAGACAATATATATTAAAATGGATGAAGGAAATGTAGGAAGAAAGAAAGAAAGAAAGAAAGAAAGAAAGAAAGAAAGAAAGAAAGAAAATGGTCTCAAATGGAAGACGAAGAAAGAAATTCTTAAACTGATGCAGGGATAAATAAGTAAGTAAAAATTCACTGCTCCAAAAGAAAGAAAGAGAGGGGGATAAACACACGTTTTAAAATGAAAGAAAGAATAAAGCAGAAAAACGAAACATAAAAAGAAGAGAAAGAAAGTTTCAGATGAAAGCGAGTAACAATGTACTGAACAGAAAGAAAAAGAGAACGATAGAAAGAAAGTAAGAACATTTTAAAACTAAAGAATAAGCGAAAGGAATAATTTCTTAAAATTAATGAATCCATAAAGAAACTACTCAACTTTGCTGATCGTACGAGTAACGGTGTTTACGCCTGATATTGAAGAAGAAAGAAAAAAAAAATGGATGCATGAAAAAGACGGCTTGTAATACACAAATATCGTAAAATAATATGAAAATGCTGCAATAAAGTTCTTTAAATTAGAAATCAAAGATAAACTTAGTTAATAAGCGCGTAGAACCTTTTCTTTTTACAAATAGTTTTACAAAGGAAGAAAAAAGAAAGAAAGAAAGTCTATTATTGATAATGAACACAAAAGACGATTATATGTAGCAAAGGAAAACAAATGTTAAAGTGAAAGAAATTTAAGAAAGGAAAAAGGCAAAGACAAAATACAAATGACGAGAAAGAAAAACTAAGTAAAGAAAGAGAGAAAGAATAATAAACAATAGAGAGAAAAATAAATAGAAATAAATAAAGAAATATAGACTGAAAGAAAGGAAATAGATAATAGAAAGAAAGAAAGAAAGAAAGAAAGAAAGAAAGAAAATGAAAGTGGAAAGAGGACCTTGAAGGGAAAAGTGTAATAAAGAATGACAGAAACAAAGAGATATAGAAAGGAAAAGAAAACAAAAGAAAGAAAGAAAGAAAGAAAGAAAGAAAGAAAGATAAAAAATATTGGCATAATGTTTTGCAAAGAGAAATAAAACGGATGTTATTTTAAACGAAAGAAAGAAAGAAAGAAAGAAAGAAAGAAAGAAAGAAAGAAAGAAAGAAAGCGAGGAAAGAAGAAAAGAGGGAAGGGAGGAAGGAAAGAAGTAAGAATTCCGCAATAAATGCGATGAAAGAAAGATGAACAAAAAAATAAAGATGAATAGAAAGAAAAAAAGAAAGAAAGTTAATAAAAGAAAGAAAGAAAGAAAGGAAGGAAGAAAGATACAAATATTGGCATAATGTTTTGCAAAGAGAAATAAAACGGATTTTATTTTAAACGAAAGGAGAAAGAAAGAAAGAAAGAAAGAAAGAAAGAAAGAAAGAAAGAAAGAAAGAAAGAAAGAAGAAAATCAGGAACGGTGGAAGGAAAGAAAGAAGGATTCCGGAATAAATGCGATGAAAGAAAGATGAACAAAGAAATAAAAATGAAAAGAAAGAAAAAAAGAAAGAAAGTTAATAAAAGAAAGAAAGAAAGAAAAGAAGAAAGATAAACATATTGGCATACTGTTTTGCAAAGAGAAATAAAACGGATTTTATTTTAAACGAAAGAAAGAAAGAAAGAAAGAAAGAAAGAAAGAAAGAAAGAAAGAAAGAAAGAAAGCGAGGAAAGAAGAAAAGAGGGAAGGGAGAAAGGAAAGAATAAAGGATACCGGAATAAATGCAATGAATGAAAGATGAACAAAAAAATAAAAATGAATAGAAAGAAAAAAGAAAGAAAATTAATAAAAGAAAGAAAAAAGAAAGAAAGGAAGGAAGAAAGAAATTAAAATGGAAGCATAATATTTTTGTGAAGTGAAATAAAACGGGAAGATTTTAAAAAATGTAAAAGTAAGGAAGGAAAGAAAGATTCCGGGAGAAATGAGAAGAAAGAAAGAAAGAACTAATAACATAATGAGGAAATTAAATGAAGAAGTACGGAAGGACAGAAGGAACAAATAACTAGAGAGAAACTTCAAGGAAGTTAACAGATGGTTTAATGAATGCAACAAAAGAACTCGAGACATTGATATTCAAACAAAGAAAAATAGGGACAAAAATTCATATTTTCTTTATTGCACGGGCGCATTCGGTGCATAGGTAATTGAAAAACATGTTTTTATTTCTCAAGAGAAAATAAAAAAAAATAAATCTAAATTCAAAGCCCTCAATTGAACAAGAAAAATTAATAATTAAGCCAATAAAACTGTTCTTTTAGAGAGAGAGAGAGAGAGAAAGATAAAAAGCAACAGCACAGTGATTCAAAAGAAAAAAGGAAGAATGCAGACTACAATATTGAGCGAGGAATGTTAGCAGGGTTAGGGTTAGAAAGTGTAGTGGGGCTTTGTCGTTCGGTCAAAGTTCATAACGTGTGAATAAGCCTTTTCACGAGTGATTTGCCACGGATGGGAGATGAAAGATGTTTGGTTGTTTGAGCAGGGCAAGATAGAATGAGGCTGGGATGTGGAATTGCTCTGATTGGAAAGGAAGTATAGGAAGGATGGGGGGAGACTTGCAATGAGAGACAAGCGTCTGTTCGCCTGGTGGGGAGGTTGTTGGTGCTCTGTGTCGGTTTAAGAATTGATTAGAGCTGCGTAGAGGAAGATGATGGTTGCAAATGACAAGAAGAAGAAGAACAACAACAACAAGCACAAGAAGAAGAAGAAGAAGAAGAAGAAGAAGAAACGAAATAAAAAAATGAAGATGAATTAAGAGATTGAAAAAATACGAAGAAGAAGAAGAAAAAGAAGAAAAGAAGAAGAAGAAGAAGAAGAAGAAGAAAACGAAGAAGAAGAAACGAAATAAGGAAAAAGAAGAAGAATTAAGAAATTGAAAAAAAAAGAAGAAGAATTAAGAAGAAGAAAAAAGAAGAAGAAGAAGAAGAAGAAAAGAAGAAGAAGAAGAAGAAAATGAAAAAAGAAGAAGAAACGAAAAAAGGAAAAGAAAAAAGAAGAAGAAGAAGAAGAAGAAAAAAAAAAAGAAAAAAACGAAATGAGGAAAAAGAAGAAGAAGAAGAAAATGAAGAAGAAGAAGAAAGAAAATAAGAAAAAAATAAGAAAATGAATTAAAGGATTGAAAAATGTACCAAGACGAAGAAGAAGAAGAAAAGAAGAAGAAGAAGAAGAAGAAGAAGAAAAAAAAAGAAGAAGAAGAATCGAAATAAGGGAAAATGGAAAATTAAAGAAGAAAATGTAAGAGAAGAAGAAGAAGAAAAGAAGAAGAAGAAGAAGAAACGAAATAAGAAAATGAAGAAAAAGAGAGAAAATGAAGAAGAAGAAGAAAGAAGAAGAAGAAAAGAAGAAGAAGAATCGAAGGGAAAATGAAGATGAATTAAGAGATTGAAAAATGTACGAAGAAGAAGAAGAAAAAGAAGAAGAAGAAGAAGAAAGAAAAAAGAAGAAGAAGAAGAATCGAAATAAGGGAAAATGAAGATGAATTAAGATATTGAAAAATGTACAAGAAGAAGAAGAAGAAAAGAAAAAGAAGAAGAAGAAGAAACGAAATAAGGGAAAATGAAGATGAATTAAGTGATTGAAAAATGTACGAAGAAGAAGAAGAAGAAGAAGAAGAAGAAGAAGAAGAAGAAGAAGAAGAAGAAACGAAATAAGGAAAAGTGGAGATGACTGAAAAATGTACAAAGAAGAAGAAGAAGAAGAAGAAGAAGTAAGTTCAGGTAGGGACAAAAATGAAGAATATAAATAATACGAGTAGGAAATACAGTTGCTCAAATGAACGGGCAGTAAACCGTGAAGTGTATATTTAAAATAAAATAAAAATTGAAGGCTAGAAAAGATTGAACCGTAGCGGTATTTGTTTCAAAGGAAAGGAAGTGTGTCTGGTAAAGAGGGAAAAATAAAGTGAAGGACCATTCTCAAGAGAAGTAAAAAAAAACTGAAGAATGGCTGCAAGCGAGAAAGAATCAACATAAAAATAATAAAGACAAAAAAAAAGTAACGAAACGCTAACGAAGAAAAAATACATAAACCGAAAAGGAATAAAAATCCGAGGCCTATTGATAATGGCCGGTCGAACTTTAGACGGGATTGAAAAGCCGAAAGAAGGCGGAGGTGCACGAAAAGGCATTAGCGAATAGATAAATAAGTGAATGGACGGATGATTGAATGAATATATTGTGTGGTGGCATCGGTAGTGAAGATAATGCATAAATGGTGAAGGTGGTTCAGGGAAGAGTTCAAATGATCTAAGAGCGACCCCCCCATTTCATTTTGCGCCTCCATTATTAAATGGTATTTCACTTTCTAGAATCGTTTCGCACCCAAATATGCGCGCCCAGCGCCTTCCTCTCTGTTAGCCTTCCGTTTTTTTACTTCCCAACTCCTTCCCTTTCTTCCTTCCGACCCATCGCTGGTAGCAGTAATTTCACATTTACATTAAACTGTTGCCATCCCACTGCCTCTCTTGAGACGATTTACATTATTTGTTGTTATTATTATTATGGTGGTCTGATCACAGTGAGGGTTTTGGTTTACTCAAAAACATTACCATTTTTTTTTCATTAGTTTTTATTATTTTCAGTCTGTTTGTTTATATTATGCAATTGTCCTCAAATAATTGTCTTTTTCATTAGAGTTTTACTTTCACTTTCACTTTGATGTTTTTCTTTCTTTCTTTTGTGTTTATGGTTTATTTTAACTTTCACAGTAGCTTTTTTTATATTTTTATTCCTTTTTTTTTTTGCATTCCTTGCCGCTGTTTGGCTTATTTCTGTCTCTTTCTGCTTATCTTGTTTTCATTCACTCTGACAATTTAAAGGGATTTTTTTTAAATTCCCGGTAACAAGTGTTGTCTTTCAATACAGCTATGATTACGCATTGACATCTTACACAATGAATGCTTCTAAACTGCTGCTATATTCCTTGTAATCATTGTGCTTTCACGCCAGTTGTATCTGGCGGCTGTCACTAAAAATCAAGTGACATCAAATCATTTAGGTTTTCAGCACTCTTCTCTTTATTCTGTTACATAATGCCTTCGTTTGCAGTTGTCTACTTTCATGTCTTCCTCCTTTTCTCAATTTCTATTATTCAAAGTGGTTTTAATGTTTATAATACGACCATCACAGGCAAATATGGCGTTCATAAGATCAACAAATGACACTGCTGCTGTTAGAAAGGCCTTCACGTTGGATAAATTACTCTACTCAGACAATTTCTTTTGTGATGTCAAGGAAAACTCGTTGCCACTTCTGGAATATCAACGAATACACGTTGTCATTTTCGTAATGCTCTTTGTAGTAGAGACTTTGTAATCGCAGATACAACTATAGTAACGCCGTTGAACAATACTGGAGTCAAACGCCTTCGACTAACATTCGACCAATAGCACTTGTATAATACTCGCTCGCATAGTAACCATTAATAGTAATCTGTATAGTGAGGTATATACTAACCGCCCCACGCGGTCGGATGTGTCATAACGAGGAGTTTATTGTAGGTTATCCGTTATTTTATTTTTACATCTGAACGTTTTGGTGATGTCAACGAATATTCATTGTAACTTTCGTAATGCTCGTTGTAGTAGAGACCTTGTAATCGCCGATACAACTATGGAAATGCCTTTCAAACAGTAACCACTGAAATAGTGATCCGAATATATATATATATATATATATATATATATATGATAGTTGTATATTTAGGCAGCAATCCTTTCTTTATGCATGTTTCATTAAAGACGACAGACAAGATACTACTGTTAACCTTTTTATTTATGGACAAAGAGTGTGTAAGAAATGTCCAAATGTTTTATTTTACCGAGCGCTTTCGGCTATACCTTCAGCCATTATCAAGGATGATTCGATTTTTCAGCTTAATTGGGTGTGTGCGTTCTGTGTATGTATTAGTGTGTGGTAGAGATTTTTTTTTTATTTCCGAATACGGTTAGCACATTGTGGCTTTGTTCGTAGTTAATATTGTTAAGAGTTGTTTTTTTTTCTTTTTTATATTAAAGCTTCCATTACTTTTAGTCTTTTTTTGCAGGTGGATGCAGTTAATATATTTGTGTTTTCTACTAGTATGTTCCTAATGGAGTCTGGTAAATTTGTGTGTGTGTTTAAATTATGTCTAATGGAGATATGATCAAATAGGTGTGACGTAAGACGTCTGGATAAGCATGTGGTTGTGTAACCGATGTAATTATTTATGAGTCCGGTTTGATTAGGAACACAGTTCCTTAAGGGGGCATTTGAACTCATAGATAATGTTTGTTCTTTGTAATTTTGACTTGTGGCTGGTGTGTTGTTATTTTTTAGGATAAGGTTGGCTGTCTTAAATTTTTTATAAAAGATAATATATTTGATTTTTTTATTCGGATCAATTGGAGTAGTATATTTCTTTATAATATGCCTTAGAGAAGATTCGTCTTGTTTGTAATTTATATGCATTTGGTTTTAGTAATAAATGTGTATGCGATTTTTGGCTGTGTGTTCGCTATCATTATTACTTGCTTTCGTAATGGCTAAAGGTATCGCCGAAAGCGCTTTGTTCAGAAAAGAAAGCTCTTGTAAGAACAGAAAAAAATTAAATAAAAAGCTTAACCGTAGCACCTTGTCTGTCGTTTTTAATGAAATACACACACACACACACACACACACACACACACACACACACATATATATATATATATATATATATATATATATCAACTAAAAGTTGCAAATTAAAAAATAATAATGATTTATATGAAAGTATTTATTTATATTTTTATATATATTTTTTTATTTATATATATATATATATATATATATATATATATATATATATAAATGTAGTTTTGATATTTCATATCGAACTCGATCTTTCTTCAGGAATAACTGTTTTTAGAGGTTTGTTTGCAAGTAGCGTCCGTCGCGAGATGTGGACGTCACGTAATATGGAATGACATAGTGTTCGAATATTTTTAACGTAAATCTAACTGTAATAATATTTTAGATGTTGTTTAAAAAATGTTTAACTGTTGAAATATTTATAAAGATTTAAAATACCCAAGTCTTTATTTAACCCTAGTTTATATGTATTTAATTTTAAAATCCAGTATTTTGCTGCGTGTGTATGTGGAACTGAAATCAGAATCTATCAATAAACATTTACAGTTTTCTAATGAGTGTCCTGATTGATTAAAGTGTTCAGCTATGGGGGAATAAGAATTGTTTATGATTGTTGAAGCGAAATCTAAAATTATTTCCAGATTCACCAATATATCCACTATTGGAACATATTGTGCAGAATAAATAGATTATGTTATAGATATCACAGGTGAGGTGAGGTGGAAGTATCTTGATATTGGTGTTGGGTACAGAAAATACATTATCTATTATTAAGTGTTTGCAAACTAAGCAACGAGGTTTATTACATTTGTAATTTCCTGATTGGTTTGTATTGTTTAGATATTTGGTAGAGGTGAGGATAGCTGATAGGTTAGATGATTGTTTCTTTGCTTTTATGGGTGGTTTATCGAAAATGTCTTTGATATTTTTGTTTAACTGGAGGTTCTTGTAATCCTTTTTTAAATTGTGAATAAGTGTGTGGGAATATTGATTGTGGTTAAAAACCATAGAAATCCGATTGTTGTTTTTACTTTTCTTGTATGTGAGAAGTGTGTTACGAGTTATGTGGATAGTTTTATTTAGTGCTACTTTTATTGTTTTTATTGGATCCGTATAGGGACCTATTAAATGCCACGCTAATTCCCATATATTCATTTCCTTTACCATCACGTGATCTACTTTCGGCAGCGCCATTTTATTCCTATATAACAGTCTCAGAGAGCTTGTTTCTGGGTATTTAGATGTGACCATCGAGCTGCCCTGGCTGCCTAAAAAAAAATACCCATCTCGATATCCGCCCCACTGACTGCCCCAGCTCCTAAGCAGACATGCACAGTAAGTCAGCCATTAAGAGAGACGCATAACTGGTTATGCTCAAAGAACTGACAATCAAACCATAACACCAGCAATGATTTAACATCAGTATACTGTTTGCCTTCGATCAGTATGGCTGATGCTAACCTCCAGGTGAGTAATTCATTGCGCCATCTCGGACTAACAATTTCCGCTGGCATGAAGTGGAAAAATTATATTTAATCAATTGCTGGTTCTGCTGACAGGAAAGATGGTTCACTGTGTTGTCCTAGACAATTTCCCACACCACGATCTGTCTTACATATTGTTATGGTCCGGTTCCTTGTACCACAGTGATAGTCCAAGGGAGAACCAATAAAGAAGAACTCGAACACGGATGTGGGATAACACAGATATATTACAAACAGGAATATATACAGAGAAGTAGGAAGTATTAGTACGAACAATCAGGTTTAGTAGGGAGAACAATGTAGTCTCGACCAGTATCGATATTCCAATATAGTAATTGTTTGAACGGGACTCTCTTTCGGACTGCCTATGACTCGACTGACTGTCTCGCTCGCTCTGACTGACAGACTCCTGACGGACCTCACTCCAGACTGAACGGTATTTAGTCACCGGCCCCCACGAAGGCACAAGGCGGGTTTAACGTGGGATCTCCGAGCCCTTGGGCTCGGCCAAAAATATGCCCTTTGAACCCGTATAAACGGGTTCAGGGTCGGTTTACCTCCCCGAAAGAGACTCTGCCCTTCGGCGTAGCCTCGTTCGGGTTCCTCCCCGCCCGAAGTCAGAGAGTTCAACCGATCAGCCGGTCAGCCGGTCAGCCAGTCGCCCGACTTCGGGCTGAACGATATTCAGTCACCCTCCAACGAGGGCGTCATGTGGCACAAGTCCTTTTTAACGTGGGATCTCCGAGCCCGTGGGCTCGGCCAAAAATATGCCCATTGAACCCGTATAAACGGGTTCAGGGTCGGTTTATCTCCCCGAAAGAGTATCCGCCCTTCGGCGTAGTCTGCTTCGGGTTCCTCTCCGCCAGAAGGCAGAGAGTTCAACCCATCAGCCGATCAGCCGGTCGTCCGACTTCAGACTAAACTCCCGCTTCCTCTTGAGGCGCAGTATTTATTACGTATGGAATAGTCCATTATGTTATCATGGGTAAGGTCCCATAACACATATTTATAAGTCTATCATTCGTCTATACTTTGAATGTCGCTGCCACATCTGGTCTACTGCTCCTGGTATTTATTTAGAGATTTTTGATAAAATCCCAACTAGAATCTGCAAT